TCTGCCATCCAAATTTGTCTGAGATGCCTTCGAAGCGAGCAGCTGGCAAAATGATGCTCTGAAATGGCATTTATTTCATTAATTTTTCGCTTAAATTTACGAGTGTGTGAATGTGAGAAAACGGCACTCAAAAAGGCGTGCTTAACGTTAAAAATGTGTATTTTTCAAAGCAGCATTAAAAAACCAGCATTGCAGGGACGTTTTTGCAGCTTTATAGAGCGGGTCTGAAGACACTATGGCCGCTATTTTTACATCCTGTATATGCATTCTCTTCAGGGAACTTCTTGATTTTAGTGTTCCAGTATCTTATCCAACTTCCCAACTACCCATCATCAACTTATTAGGTCAATTAGAACAAAAACCGCGCATAAAAACCAATTATCCTTGTGGGCTGAGCGCTTGAAACATAAACGACCACCCTCCGATTCTCCCGATCTACAAATTACCTCTGCCCCCCATTAAATATTTGAGCGGCCGAGAGGACAGACTAAAAATTCACCCCCCGTCAACGAACAACACACGAAATGCATTGATGAATTTTTCAAACGGTAATTGCCATAATGGAGGAAGAAGTCCGAACTACAAAACGGAATATCGATTGGGGGGCGACGCTCATTAGCCATCGGGAATTGAATAGAGAACTCGCCCGAGTGGAGGAAATGGCTTTTTTACGGCGCCAGAATAAGGAATTAATGTCTGAATAAATAGGGAGGATTTGGGGGAGTTTGATGGATTCAACTGAACGGTTGTTGCTGAAGAAGCGTGGTTCCCAAGACATTTATCGTGCAGAGGATGCAACTTCTTATTCAAAGGAAAGTGAGGAGGATGCAATGATGATGGTGGAAAACCCATAGATAATGGGAAAAGTGACACTCTCCCAAGACGGTGGTTTAAAGCAAATAAAACCGTTTCCCTAATAGCAGGGACGGTTTTTTTCTCGATATTCCAACTCACACAGAAGAATAATTCGCGCACGAAACGGCATTCACAAAAAGTAATTTTTCCACATATGTGAAACGGGCTTCCCGAACGGCACTTTAACTTTGGCGATAAACTTGTCCTCGGGGACTAAACACACATACACACAGAAAAGGAATGGCTGGAGCCCTTTTCCTGCTGAAAATTCAATTTGCATCGATAAAGAATCGGGCACGCTGAAGGGAACGGGAAAGCTTTTTGGGTAATTTAAGGGGAAAAAATCGAAAGATGACGATAAAGGATAAAGGTATCGGATCTGACTCGGTTTTTATGTTCCCACTTGACTTTGCCGATTTGATTTCGAATAAATCGATTTTTTCATCTGAAATATTTTGAAGTGCACCGTCTTCCATGCAAAACAGCAAACAGCCCTTGAACCATCACTCCTTAATGTTTAACGGGGCATTTGAAAAACAAACGGAACTTTTCCATTATTGCATGAAAACGTGCACCGTGCACATTTCACCCCCATTTCAGCCCCGTCGAAAGGCAAACATCATTCCCGGTCACAAATTAAAATCTCACTTCCAAAGAGCATTTAATGCGTTCGCCCTTATCCGCATCGGGCGTCACACGGCAAACACACTACTTACACATGCAAACAGGGCTGGGGGGCGCAGACCGCACCGCAGGCAATTAACACACCCTCCGTTATTTCTCAACCCTCTTCAAATATCGCCCCGGTTTCGCTTCCCCTGGGCCCTTCAGGGTTCATTCAAGCTGTATAAAATTGATAGCGATTTTCTTTATTCATTGCACTCTTGAAACCGGGGGGTTTTCCTTTCACTTACAGTGTGAATGGCGAGTCTATCGGGGTTGAATCTGGACGAGACGCAGGCCTTGGACTGATCTAGATTTTGCTTTGTTGGTTTAGGTTAACGGGATATTTTTGAGCCGCAGCCAATAAGAACCTAGTTATTTTTTTATTTTCATAGTTGTTCTATTGATCCTTTAAATTCTCAAAACATTCTCTATTTTGATTTAGTTCTTTTCCTCAAATGACCTCTCCAAAATATTCTTCCCCAGATTACATTTTTACTAATAAGATTGAAAATCCTCCAAAAAATATTTGCAAAAAAACATTGCAAATCAGGCATGAACATCTCCGAAAAAAGGTCATTTGAGAGTGCAAAGTGATTTTTTATAAAACATCACTAAACCAGAATTGCATGAGAATTTAAACAATCAATAGAACAAAGTAGTCAAGAAAACGAGTAGCCTTGGAAAAATAAAAGATCAACACAGAAAAACTATGCACTCAAATGAAGAGACAAAGCGAAAGAAACATGAAATTCAGAATAGACTAGAAAAAATGAAATAAATCCTAGAGATGATAACCCACATTCAAAAGTAGTTTAAATGACTAGAAAACATTGTATTTGAAGCTCAAAGAATCAGCTTCTGGTCACACTTGAATCGAGTTTGAACTGAAAATTTGGTTCATTTTGAAACTGCATCTGGATGTTATTCTGATTACATTAGAGTTTTAAGAGAAACATCGATCTTTATGATCGTCCGAACTTTAGAGCGCGCATTTCGTGCTTTATAGGTGAATATTTTAAGTCTTCCCTTTCCTTTATTAAGACTTTTTATTATTTATTTATTTATTTAGAATAAATTTTAACTGTAGAAACGAGCCCTAAATCAGGGCATTTTAGCTCAAAACGATCTGTATATAAAACGGTTCTGGTAATGAATCTTTGGAGGATTAAAATATTCGTAGTCAAAAGTTAAAAAGAATCTTAATCTGAAGAACAAAAATGACAACAAGAATATTTGTGAAAAAGAAACAGTAATATGATACAAAAACTTAAATTTAAATTAGTGAAATATCGGCTCTTGCAGCGTTTTCAGCATATTTGTTTTTTTTTGTTAAGTTGGAACGTGAAATTTGCCTTTGGAAATATTGCCGTGCGAACATGTACTTTCTACAAAAATGTCAACAATAAGCAAACGGAAATCGGACTGCCAAGTAAAGCATCATAGAAAGGGCGAATAACTAAATGATTAAATAATCAAGTTTATTCTATAGCTCGGATTTTTTTTCTCGAAAAGGTCTATAAATGTTCAGTTTGCTACCGACAGTAGACGAAATTGGTCGATAATCATATGTGTCGAGTGAGTCGCGTTCTCAGATGGAAAATATCGAATCATTGTGGACCTTATGGCAAGTGCGGTAGTATGTGAAAGTGTAGTGAACATCTTGAGTATTAATGGATAGAAAATGGAGGATGGCGCCCCAGCTTGCAGTAAGCTGGTAAGAATGATCTTTAATCTATCAACCTTTTAGCTTGAACTGAGTTTAGTTTTCCGACAAGCAACTGAAGATTTATGGATTCTTCATATTTTTGCTTCTTTGCTTTGCTGATTTCAAGTAGGTACTTAAGTCTCGTTTTGGACACAGATTTTCTGTTATATTGAACACATTTCTTCTTTGATTTTTAAACTTTGGGAATATTATGGGCGTTTTTGATTTTTATATCAAGCTCGGCTGCAGCTTTTCCCTAAAGATTGGATTAAGATATGGAAATTTGGGTTCTAGTATTCAATACCAGAGGCATCAGCTTACTGATTGTGCGGATTTGGTTCCGATTAAACCATTGTATCCTTCACAAGAAATTTTTAACTTTGGGAGTATTTTGAGTTGCTTCGTATTTTTACATCAAGCTTATCTGAAGCTTGCCTCCAAAGAACCGTTTCAGATATGCAAATATGGGTTCCAGTTGTATGTTTTTTCTTAAAAGAGTTAATTTTTGCCTGTTTTCGAAATTGACTGAAACATCACACCACCCTTTTTCACGATGCTCAAGAACCATTTGAGCGACAGAGTTGGTTTTCATATCATTGGGTGGAGGGTTAGCAATTCGATTCAGTTATAACAACGTGCGTGAGTCAACTCTGGTTGATTTGTCACAAAAAATCACACGAAATTTGAATATCAGACATTTAGGTGCATTTTGACGCCAAAATTTAATTTAAATAAAAAATCGTCTTCTAGAGAATGTACATCGTTCGTTAATCAATAGTGCAATCCCAAATAAAATAAATCAGAAGTCAGTAACAAAGTGACCAATATCTTATCAGAGGACGCAACAAGAGGGACTGCCTAAAAGGCAGAGAAAAAAACTGCAAAAACCCCAACGGTATCCAAGTGGAGATATAAATGCAAAAAATATTTCAAATAGTGAAAACCTATTTGTTAATTATAATAACAATAATACGGCGGCACGTTTTCCAGTCTAGTTGTTTTTACAAATGCACAAGTGCAAATGAAAATGCAATTCATTGAAATCGGACCGGATTTCGCTTAGTAAAATACATTTCAAATTGTAAACTACTGTGAAAATCAACATTTCATTAAATTCGCAAAAAAAACGCCCAAAAAATACGGTTACCACTCTATTTGTGTAAAAAGCGTGTTGCAAAGTGTTTTACGCTAAAACAGTGCGTTCATTACCACTATCTATACAGCTGCACATTTTTTCAATTGATTAGTTTTACAATATACATATACATATATAGGAAATGATTGGTTTTATCGCTTGTTTCCAACTATTTGCACTTATCGACCTCATTTCTACTACTTAAGCTTGATTTATCGACGCGATAGGGATATTTATTTATATGCGCATCGATATTTACGTTCAATTATCGTTTATTTGTTAAAATTATGTCATTTTAGTGAATTTTATCGGGCGGAAAGTGAAATGCTGCCAATTTTTCGTTCCAATCAGCTGCACTTGCTGACCTCAACACAACACGTACAATGGAGAAGAACAAAGTGTTTGAATGCTTTGTTTCCTCAAAACTAGACTTCTTCCACTTCACTCTTGAGGAAAAATTGGATCGACGGAAGAAAAGATTCTCACCTGCAGGCGAGTGAATTTGAATAACCTCAGAAATGCGGATGGTAGAACTTTGATCACTATCATATAAAATAAATTCGATCTTAAGCCCCAGAAAAAACCCAAATCAGACTTGAAATTAAAGAAAAAATAACAAAATCTTTTAAATTGACTCACCTGTTTGTGCATTTCCACGTTCAATCCATAAGACATTTCATAGTACTGAAAAATAAACGTCAATTAGTCAATGGTTCAGTGAAACGTATAGCCGTCCCCTTACCATAACGTAGTGTCGTTGAATTTCAATCTTTTCACTGGCCAATTTCTCACAGTCCAATTTAAGGCTGAAACGAAAAGAATACGGTGCACTAATTCAGGAAAAACTACGCCCAGTAAAGAGCAGAAATCAATCAATGTGAGGCCCACATAGAAATCGCACTAATAAAGATTGATAACGGACCGATAATGGTCCATCTATTTGCAATCGATGCGTACTAACATGGTGGTACCATGATGGTACTAAATTATCTAAATAGCAAACACTCCTTTAGCGACGCATCTATTTAGTTTTATTACTACGGCCTGGTCCCAATAAGGTATCGTCTCGATTCTGTACAATACAATGGCAATCATTAGAATCAACTCGAAGAAGTCGAATCCATTTTTAATCAGGCAATAAGTGTGCAATTAATTTGTCACTCACCTATGATATTGTGCTTGTAAAAAATTAAATTCCTCCTTTATTCGATCACAAGACTCGGCCACAGTGAATTTGAAAGGCTGACCAGGCTGCGGTGGACCCTGAAATAATAGAGAAAAAAACATTGAATATCTATTAATAAAAAATACTATACATATAAATAAGTAAATCAAAAAGCAAATACGATGGGACAAGGTTTTTCGTACTAAATTCTTCTCATATTTTAAACGGAATACTGAAAAAATTGTCGTTTTTTATTGAAGCATAAGCGGAAAAAGTAAAAAGCACATTCAAAGATGTCTCAACACTTGTCTGTCGATGCCACAAAATCCAAACTTTTCCCACATCTAAAACTCACTTTGCCCTACAAAACGCTCCCAAAAGTGAACCTCAAACATCACGTTTTTGAGAAAATAACTTCCAAATTTGGCCTGCTTAAGCGACCATTAAATTCAACCGCAAATTTTCCAAAAAAATTAAATCAGCATGAGGATGACGCAAAATCGAAAATTTACATCGCACTTTGACCTATAAAAATTAATCTCCAACTTCACTAGTTACTGAGAAAACAAAGGCCTGCAACAGCGACCAAAAAGTTCATTAGCAAAATATCGAAACTTTTGTATTGATTACGCAGACCATACCCAATAAAATTCATACAAAGGAGAAATTACTGCAGTAACAAACGTAAAATACAAACAAAATTTCAAAAAATTTCTTGAAGATGTTTGAAAATCAAAACGTTTGAGATATACACAATGGACTTTGCCCTATAAACGTGATACAAAAGTGACTCTCCAACTCTGATCCAAAGATCAAAATTTCCTGATGATGTCTAAAATTCGAAACTTTCGAAACGCACAGAACATAGTTTGCCTCAGAAAATGCATACAAAGAAAATGTTTTTCCTTCTTTAGTTCCTGAATGAATAAATGCCAAACTCTGGTCTGCAAAAACAACCTCCTTAAACAAAGGTAATTTTTAAAATCATACAAAATTCCCTGATGATGACCGAAAATCGAAACTTTCTCCACCTCTAGAACGTGTCACAAATGTAAAACAAAAGAAAGTCTTTAGGTTTCCAAGATATTGAGCAAAACATTTTCAAACTACCACCAGCTTAAATATCTGCAAAAACAACATGTACCTTTGAAAAATTCCTTGAAACTGCCTGATGATGTCTGAAATTCGAAACATTTTCAATCTATAGAACACACGTTGCTCTATAAATGTGATACAAAGGGACTATCTAGCTTTGCAAGTACTTGAGCAAAAACTGTCAAACTACCACCTGCCTAAATAGCCGCGAAAACAACTCCGACTTTTAAAAATTCCTGCAAATTACCTGATAATGACTAAAAATCAAAACTTGGCACTCACACTGGAGAACACACTTTGCCTCAAAAAATCCATACAAAAGGGACTTTCTCGTTATGTTAGTTCCCGAATAAATATTTGCTAAACTGGGGCGTGCGAAACAACCTCGTAAAACAAACCCAATTTTGAAAAATCATAAAAACTTGCCTGATGACGGCCGGAAATCGAAACGTTTTCCACCTGTAGAACACACCTTGCCCTATTGCAAAATATACATTTTGGTGGTGTTAGAGCAGACAAAATGTTGAACAAACGTCTTGAAACTTCGTTTACTTAAAGCATTCTAAACGATCGTTTAAAATACCCCGATTACCATAGAATATTTGCATATTTTCCACTGATTACCCTCCTATCTCGTTCCATATAGTGTGGAGAATTTCAAACAGTCCCCCGTCATAATATTTTATTTTTAATTGCACTGCGGCACGAACGAGCATTCACGTTTTTTTCTCCCCAACTGCCAGTCACGACATTTTCCTCACTTGGGCGATAGTCGAGAATTCTAACTACTTCTTTCCTGCTTATTGATGATGTCTATATGTTGTTTGGTTTTTCCACTTTGCGACTTTCCTCATTGCGTGCCAAGCCCGGGATTGCAAAGTGTTTCCGTTGTGCACAAGAGAGACAAGGTTGAACTACAGTGACTGTAGAAGACAGAATTCGAATACTCGTTTAATGGTTTAGTCGAATAGTAAAATTATTCGAATACTCGAATATCTAACGAATATTCGAATAACCGAGTATTCGAATATTCGAATATTCGTTTTGCGTTCACCGTTTTCCAAGAAGAAGAATCGTTATCTCATATCATTTTTGGCAACTAGCCGCAATCGATGGCGGTTATATTTTTTTCCTTTTATTTTTAACTTAAAAAAGTGCCGACCCATTAATTGTAACACCCATAAAAGTTGATGATGCGAGTCACTGGAACACAGACACGTAATTTTATATTCATTTTCAGGAGGGTAAATGATTATTTTCATTTGCTTGTAAATATATGGGTATTTGTTAAAATGCTTGTCGAATATGAATAATTTCTACTACACACTACAAGTATCTCTGGAGTTCGACTAACTCGACTAGCTAGAGCAACTGCATTCATATGCCCAAATATAAATATATAATAACACGAGCCAGCACTTAAACCTAATAAAATCTAAGACTTAATTAACTAAAAAATACTCCTGCTTACAAACCAGTATATAGAGTAAGTATATTAAAATTTCATTACCAGCAATTAATATTTTACTGCTCGCACACTGGACCAACTGTTTAGTATGTCATTAATTCATTATGCCATTTAACCAATAGAAACGCGGACTAACCATTATTGCAACTGTGTTTTATAGAGTCGCTGTAGTTCTTTCAGCTTTTAGCTTCTCCTAATTTTTCATCAACATTTGTCTTCGTTTTTATAAATTATATTTTATTATGAATCTGTGTCTAAAATCACTGAATGTGAACAATCGAAAAAGTTTGAAAACTTGAGGTTTTCTTGAACAAACATGATTTTTTTATTTTGACCAAATTTATGTACCCAAAGTTTGCCATATCTCAATGCATAATTAACAGCGATAATCGAACCTGCAGTGATTGTGCATGAGTGGAAGAAGAACATCTACTAGAGCTTATGCTGGGAGGCTCAAAATGACTCGAACTAAATTGTCAAACTGTAACAATGTGTAAATTAACACTGTTGAGCTCAAAAACGTGCTTTAATAACAATTTGGATGCGAAAAAACTTCGACTTTCACTATTCAAAGACACTGAAACCAACAGTAGAACCTTTAGTGACTTTGCATGCGTAAAAAGCTCATATTTATTTACCAGCTTCTGTACTGAAGGCGTTGCCCAAAAATTGTGCACCTACTCAGTCGAGTTCGCCATTCGAAAATTTGCTTAAAAAACAAATTTCCAGAAAAACAATTTTTCAATATTTTAAGACGGAGGAGTATTGGATTTTAAGGAGTATTTGAAAAATAATACTGAACCTTTAGCAGTTATTGCTTGAAACTGAACAATTGTTCCAATTGCTTTGGAATTTATCTCTTAAAATGTGTTTATGCGTCGTCCAGCCGAGCAAAAGAAAAAGTTTAGCAAGAAGAAAAATAGGATCCCAACAGAGAACAAACTAATGAAAAATCCTAAACAAACGAGAACGACCGAAATTTCCCCGGTATTATTGAACTCGGCAAGTCAATATATCGGTGAAATAATATTGGCTGAAAGGAAATAATACGCAGCCTGTGCAAACATTTAAAAATGGCCAAAAACCAATATTTAGAAAGCAAAGTGTGTACGTAGATAAATAAATTAGCTGTGACGTAATATCCGCCGTAAGTGTTAAAAACCGTTAGAACATATTCATCGGTTTTATAACCCGTAGAATAAGAACGTGCTGGAAAATAATCATTTTAAATGTGTGTGTGTATGTGTCTGTGTGTTTATTTTCAAACCACTGTAATGTATAGGTTAAATAACGTTGTATCGGTACAGGCATATCTTTGATCTTGGCACATTAAAATATGCGGCAATTACCTGGCTATTTTAATACCACTAATAGATTTATCAAGATTCTTCCCAATTTAGTAGACGGTTTGTCTATTTTATGACAATGAAATATTTTCAATTTTCCTATGCAGCTATTTTTAACGGAGAAATGAAGGAAATCACACCTAGAAGGACTCGAAACCGGTCCTGGGAGGAGCCTCAGATTAGCACATCTCTGAAACGTTTTACAGCTCTGGAAACGCCAAAACTGCTGTTTGTAAGAGCTTGGAACTCTTAGAATACATATTCGACTAAATTTACCAGATCCAACTGAAACCGGCTACCACAAAGTATAATAACCTTTGAAGCCTTTTCCAGACTTATGCTCCAGCTAGTAGATATAGAAAAATAAGTTTTTCCAAGCTGGAATCAAGCGCAAAAAATGTTAACCGATGATTTGACTGTCCAGCAAGCATCTAGTTTCCGTGCTCCAATGAGTTATTAATAACAAAACGAGCGAAAAAAGTTGATCGCATTTTCGTTCTCCGACAATCGGCGAGAAATTGAAAATTCGGGTTCCAATTACCGACGTTGTTAAGCCACGGGCCGAACTTCAGACCGTCGGTGGATTTTTCGAAATTTAATTAATGGAAAATATCCAGCTGGGAGTTTCTTTTATGCTTAAACTACGCAGAGGGAAACGCTTTAATTTACTGTTCCTACAGCATCTGATACGTATAATAACTTAATACTTACATAGTGGAAAATGCGCGAATTGGGCTCCAAACAGCCCAGTTTAGTCCATTTGGACCGAAACCGTTAGAGAAATCGATAGGTTATATTTTCAAAAATCTACTGCTGGGTCTCCTTTTTGACAAATTCAGTTTTTCACGTAGTAAAAATTGGTCCTTCGAGCTGGCTCGACATAGAACCAGCCAAGTTTTTAACTTGATCACTTTAAATTGGAATTTGCGTAACTTTATAATATGCTTTCGTAAGAAATGAAAGCTTTTCCGGTTAAAAATACGACAAAAACAATATCTTAAAAAAAATAACAACCAGCACGAAAATTGTAAAATAATAGAAAATAAAACATCTGAAAGAAACACGTTAAACGCGGGTTATTCACTTACTAAAAACTGGTCCTTTGAGCCGGATACCGACAACCTGATAAGTTGTCAAATCAGTCGTTTTAACCATAATTTCTTTGGTTTGGTTTGGTTCTTTGGTTTGG